TTTTGTCCCCAGCATCCACATCCATAATTTTTGCTTGATTTAGTTTTATATTGATTGATTGATTTTAGATATTCAGATTTCTCTTTCTGTGCTTTAACCACAAGAGTAAGTAGTAGTGTGAACATTGCCAGCTTTTACCTTTATATTAAATCGGTTGCTGATGCCTTTGCCAGTGATACTTTGAGTGACCTAAAGGACTCATTTGTGACAAACTGGTGTGGTTGGCAGGAGATATCACTGACTACTTACAAAAGCATGGAGTAAGTCCAAATCCTCAGTCCTCAGACGAATGGGCTCAGGGTAACTGGCATGATTGGAAGGGTGTGGAGGAACATTTAAAAGCAGCTGGGTATAAAGTCTGGGAAAGACTGCAATAAAAAGACATGTGGTTAACCACCAGCGAAATTTACCTACAACAGAAGTAAATTAGACAATTTGGGGTTTACTTTATTGAACAGTATTATGTGCTGCTGCCTCAGTGTCCATTTGGGCTACATGGAATGGTTTGGGTTGGAAGGAACCTTAAAGACCATCCAGTTCCAACCCCCGTGGCAGGGACACCTTCCGCTATCCCAGGTTGCTTCAAGCCCCATCCAGCCAGTCCTTGAACACTTCCAGGGATGGGGCAGCCCCAGCTTTTCTGGGCAACCTGTGCCAGGGCCTCACCACCCTCACAGGGACGAACTCCTTCCGTACATAAACGCACGGGCTGTTTCCTCAAATTAACAAAACACACTACAAAGACGACGTTACGGAAACCTGATTTCCTTCCTGCCGTTCCTATCCTTCCTTATTTGAGTCCCCTGGGGAAATGTGAAGGAATTTAAAGCAAACCCCCTTTAGTCCCCTGGCATCGCCCGGACCCCTCTGCCGGGCGCTCCTCCGGCCGCTAGGGGGCGCCAGGGCGGAGAGCCCCTCAGGGAGCGCGAGGGTGTTGCGCATGCGCGGAGCCGCCAGACCCGCTTTCCTGGAAGAGCAGTGGCCCCGCTTTCCCGGAAAAGGCGTCGGTTCTTCTTCCCTTCAAAACCCGCCGGCCCCGCTCCCTGCTTCCCTGGCAGATCAGCCAGCCCCGCTTCCCTCGCCCTCGGCACCCCCTCCGGCGCTGAGGGTGCCTGCGCGCGGTCCGGGCCGGTCCCGCTGAAGCGAGCGGTGCTCCCGTCCCCTCTCCGCTCTCTCGCTCCAGGGGCTCGTCTCCTCCTCCCTTCGCCGCCAAGATGCCGCGGATTATGATTAAAGGCGGCGTGTGGCGGAACACCGAGGTAGGACTCGGCGGGGTTTGTTTAATGCCTT